ATGATAATATTGCCGATCCATTGACGAAGCCTCTCCCTTCGTTAAAGCATGATGGTCATGTCAGGGGTATGGAGATTAGATGCTTGTAGGATAGATCATAGAGTATAGTGGGAGATTGTTGGTTGTAATGCTCTAGGATGATCCGTGATATGATATTTTACTTCGTATTGATTCATTGATTTATGAATGCATTACTATTCCCGTTATATGATTGGCATGTTTGTTATATTTCGGTATCCTTGAATCATTAGAGAATGATTCTAAACTCCCTAGTAAGTTATACGAGTCAGAAGTCTGTGAGGCCGAGTCTGTGCATTTTTGGTCATTTTTGATCTGTCGTTCTGACTCGGCCGAGTCAACACTTAACTCTGTCCGAGTCAGAACCCTGGGAGACGCTTTTAGGCCACGAGATCTAGGGTTTCACCCTATTTCGATGCGCCATCAAGCCGTCTTTGACCCCCATCTCATCCATGCATCAAATACAATCACAACATCATTAAATATGCATAGATCAGGCCTATCATGCAATTCTAACCATTAAAATTCATATAGGCATGCAACAAACACGACGATATACAAAGAACCAGTTTCTGATACCACTGTTGGGTTTTCGTCGCTACGGGTTCCTAGCATGCGATCTCATCGATCTAGGGTTTGGTTACTAGGTTTCATGCAGTGGAAGGAAAATCTAAACCTAGTCAAACGTCACACGTAACCAAACTTGCAAAACCCAAAAAACCGTGTATATCACCGTGGAAATCGAATACTTACCTCTTCTTGAAGCAAATCTCAATCCGGGGCCTATTTCAATCACCAAGAGCTGAAAGTACAGCTCCTCTACACGTATGGAATAAAGGATTATCCCGGACCTACACCGAGGTATTGACGGGGTGATTCTCATGTTTCGGTCCTTTTCCCCATTACTTAGAACCACACCAACGGGAAGGATTCCAAACGCTTTTGGAACTGATCTGCTAGGATCTGTGAAATGATTAGGGTTTCCAAGACTTGGGATCGAATCCCGAGAACTAGAATCTCAAAAGAACGGTTTCTCTTGTGTTCTAGATCTGTCTAGGAGTTCAGAAAGTCTCTCTATCGGTTGGGGCGACATCCCCATACCTCTTTATTAAGTTTGAAACCCTAATCTTTGCAAAAGAAAACTTTTCCCCGAGATTTGACTCGGTCCGAGTCAAAACTTGACTCAGTCGAGTCAGAACGAATCAGCCCAAGTCCATGACCAACTTTTGACTCGGTCCATTTAGAGTTGACTCGGTCCGAGTCAAGATTTGATCGACCGAGTCAAAACATCAGCCAAGTCCAAAAACATTTTCTAGACTTCGACTCGCATGTTCACCTAAGTCGAACTGACTCGTCCGAGTCAAATACTGACTCGTCCGAGTCAAATACTAACTCGGTCCGAGTCAGAAGGCTGAGACCGTTTCTCGACACTCTGATTTGATCCGAAAACCGTTTGTTCGGCCAAATCCAAGTCTTCCTTTCCGATACTTCACATATAAGTCTGTCCCTAATGGTGTGTGACCTATAGGCCCATTCGCAGTGGCAGCAACATCGAGAACCATTCCCGATCTACAAATCGCGGTTAGCCTTCTAGCAAGACGCCATGACCACCCACGTTGAATTGAGTTAGAGGTGATCTAACCAAGGCAGTAACAGCTCGAGTATTGATCCTTTGTCTCACGATATCATATGTTGAACAAGGGCATGGTTTGAGCCACCCTTCAAGTTCAACCGCTTTCTGGTCTTAGCAAATCGACTAATAAAATAGATGTAACTTCATCTATAGCGTGGCCACGCGTTTTTCATAGTCCAATTTCCATGAGGGACCCACCGATATCTCTCCCGTTAAGGAGGTGACAAGTCCCGTATTGCATGTCTACTATCTCCATATGATTCGTGAACGTATTTGATCAACGTCGTTATAATCATCCGGTTAAAGACGACGTTTGACGCAGTCAAGACACACCACTCCTCATATCAGATACTCTAGACATCTCAGGTCTGAGGATCCAAGAACGAACCGCTGTATGAGATTCAAGTCATGACTTTGTCAATTTGACAATCTCATGCGGGTCATTCAGTCACTCGTTCCCAACGAGTACCCATGATTGTGATATGCATCCAATGCATCGATCACACCTCATGCTTCCTAATTCATCATTGTTCCCAAAATGATAACTGACTAGGGAGTTTAGAATCATTCTCTAATGATTTAAGGATACCGAAATATAACAAACATGTCAATCATATAACGAAAATATTAACGCATTTATAAACCAATGAATCAATACAAAGTAAAATGTAATATCATGGATCATCCTAGAGCATTACAACCAACAATCTCCCATACCCCTAACATGGCCATCATGCTTTGACGAAGGGAGAGACGTCGTCAATGGGTCGACAATATTATCATCTGTCGACACTCTACTTATTTTCACGTCTTCTCTGTCGATGATTTCTCTGATCTAGTGAAATCGCCTGAGTATGTGTTTGGATCTCTGGTGTGACCGGGGTTCCTTAGCTTGTGCAATCGCACCATTATTCTCACAGTACAACTCAATGGGATCTGCAATGCTAGGAATGATGCCCAGATCTCCCACGAATTTCCTGATCCAAACACCTTCCTTAGTTGCATCCGATGCTACTATGTATTCAGCTTCTGTAGTCGAATCTAGGCTTGTCAAATGGGTTGGGTTAAATGGGTTTTACCCAACCCAATAACATAACCAAATAAGTTAACCAATTGGGTTAATATATTTAAATGGGTTAGATGGGCTGAGCCCATTTGGTTAATTTGTTAAATGGATATACCCAAATAAACCCAAAAAATTTTAAACCTAAAATCTCAATTTCTTTTTGCTGAGTACGATTCAGCTTCTCCTCCTCTCTTGTAGCGATTCCTCTCTTCGTTAAAAAAAAAACCCTAAATTACTTCTGAATTTATCTGAAACAAATCGATTCCTGAGAATTCGAATCACCTTGTGATTCGTGAGAAACTTCGACAAACAAATTGAAGCCACTGCGACATCAATCTGTAAGTAAGAAAGTTTGTTATGCGATCGATGTTGTGTTCTAGTTGTTGATGATGAAATTTTTTTACCCGATGAATCGTGAAGTAGTAGTGATGACGAAATCTAGGTTTTTTCTTGTATCTTATCATGAGGTTCGTGTTCGATGGTAAACATGTACAAGAGCTTTAACTTTAGTAGAGTTTCTAGGGTTCATAGGTTGTTTTCGAAAAGAATTAATGATTTTCTGAAATCAAACGCATTTATTGGTTTTACCGATTTTAATGTTTATTTTATTGTCATTCCTTCTTCGTTTGATTTATGTCAAAAGGGTGTTTCAAATATTTTTTTTTTGAAGTTGATATATCAAAAAGGATATAGAATTTATATATCAGATATTACATAATGGCATCTAACAATAGAAGGACAAAGACAGTCAATTCTCTCTTTTCGTGTTGAAGCTCTCTATTCTTTCGTTTAATTTCCATGAGCTCAACTTCCATTTTCTGCACAACCATCATGATGATGCTCTCTGTGTTTACTTGGTGCTATTGTTCATTATCTCTCTAACTATTTCAGCATTTTTTTTAATCAGTCTTAATTTATTATTGTAGTGATATGTCTGATTTAGAAGTTTCGGATACTCTTGCAATGGGTGGAGAAAGTGCAAACGAAGGATCATCGTTACCAAGTCAATCTTTAGCAATACATGATCAAGTAAGTACTAGAAAACGACGACAATATTCGCGTGTATGGGATCATTTTTCAAAAGTTGGGAATAGAGTCGTTTGCAAGTATTGTAGAAAGGATTATGCGGATAATGTTGAAAGGAATGGAACATCTAATCTCCTTCGACATTTGGTCATATGCAAAGGAATGCCTGATAAATTTTCAGAGATGCTTGCTCGTGAAGGAATGATTATAGCTAAAAAGATTGATTGTGTGATGGTTCGCAAGTTTTTAGCCGTGGCAATCATAGAACACGATCTCCCTTTTTCATTTGTGGAGTACAAGAGAGTTAGGCAGTTACTTAAGTACATGAATCCAGAATTCAATCCAATTTCTAGAAACACGATTGTTGCTGATATTCTGAGATTACATCAAAGTCAAAAAGAGAAACTAAAAGGTGAGATGGTTGCTGTTTCGAATAGGATTTGTTTGACGACTGATGTTTGGAGGTCTATAGCCATTGAAGGATATATATGCATCACTGCACATTATGTTGATGATAGATGGAAGCTAAACAGTAAGATACTTACTTTTAGTGCCATGCCTCCTCCACATTCTGGGAATCAGTTGGCAAAGAAGGTTTTAGATTGTTTGAAAGATTGGGGGATAGAAAAAAAAATATTTTCTCTCACGCTTGATAATGCCTCAGCAAACGATACTATGCAAAAGATATTGAAGGATCAGCTTTGTCTACAACAGGGTTTGTTATGCGATGGGAAATTTTTTCATGTTCGATGTTGTGCACATATTTTAAATCTTATTGTGCAAGAAGGCCTGAAATTGGTTGATTCTGCTCTACATAAAATCAGAGAGAGTGTGAAGTATGTAAAATGGTCAGAGGGAAGGATGAAAATGTTCGAGGAATGTTGTGAACAAGTTGGTGTTGAAAGTGGAATGAGTTTGAGTTTAGATGTTGCCACAAGATGGAATTCTACTTATCTGATGCTCAAGATCGCTATTAAGTATGAGCGTGCATTTAGTAGTTTGCAATTGCTTGATAGAAACTATAAGTATAATCCATCTAGTCAAGAGTGGCGAAGAGGACAAAAGATCTGCGAGTTTTTGGAGCCCTTTTATGAGATCACCAACTTATTCTCTGGCTCTAAATATCCTACTTCAAATTTGTATTTCTTCCAAGTGTGGAGAATAGAGTGTTTGCTCAAAGAGTACATGAAAAATGGAGAAGATGATATCATTCAATCCATGGCCAGCAACATGAAAGAAAAGTTTGATAAATATTGGGAGGAGTATAGTGTGACACTTGCGTTTGGAGCGGTTCTAGACCCTAGAATGAAGTTGGAATTATTGGAATTTGCCTACAATGAAGTTGATCCCACCACTTCTAAGGAAAAGATAGCTCACGTGAAAGAAAACTTAGTGTTACTCTTTGATCAATATAAGAACAGATCACTAACTGCAAGTTCTTCACGTGGAGCTATAAGTCCAAGCTGGTGTGTTGCAAGAGGTAGAGGAAGAAGTTTGACTGCTTTGAATGTAAGTTCACATCGGTGAATAACAAGTTCTTCATGTGCATCTCTTTGTCATTTGTATTCATTTTCTATAATTTTGTATAATTTTTCACGAACTATGTGATGTAGGCTTTCAAAGCATATGAGAAAAGAACTGCTGCACAGGAGGGGCGATCTGCTTTGGAAATGTATTTAGACGACAAAAGGTTAGAAATGAATGAGTTTGACGATATTGATGTATTACAGTTTTGGGAAAGCCATAAGCAACGATATGGTCCCTTAGCTCAGATGGCATGCGATATTCTCAGCATTCCAATTACTACAGTGGCATCTGAATCATCTTTTAGTATTGGCGCTCATTTGTTGAACAAGTATAGAAGTCGTCTTCGCTCGTCTAATGTTGAAGCGCTTATTTGCACGCGAAACTGGTTGGTTGGATATGAAGTTTGTGAAAATGGTAAGACATATATTATATTACATGTTTTTCAATCAACATAACATTGGTTCTTACCATTTTTTATGAAAATTGTAGGTGAAAAAGGAGATGATGATAATGACTATAACCCCGACATCGTTGATGATCATGATGGTGGAAATAATGACAATGAAGAGAATGATGATGATTTGGCAACTATGTCGGACTATTTTAGATTAGATCGAGAGGAAATGGCATAGATTAGGAGATTATATTATGAGAAACAATGGGAAGAATGATCAGTGTTATTATGATATGCAAATAGATTTGGGTTTTGATTTGTATTTGGTTTATGAATTATGTGTTTGGTTTAAATCTATTAATAGAGTGATGCATTTTGATTTGTGTTTGGTGATGTCGATCTAGGATGTGATCTAATCTTGTTTTAATTCCTAAATACAATCACCGCAA